GATTTGCACCCCCCCCCCTCAAGAGATTTCGATTTGCACCACCCCCCCCCCCCTCAAACTTTCAATTTGCACCCTGTTATAACTGAGGTTCTATATGTGTACCACAGTTATGCAGTGAGAGGGTACAACTACCTGATCCAATACCATCTTTCCATATCACTACCATTTGATTATGTTTAGCTATGCTACAGTATATCTTGAGACACGACGACATCAACGCTTACGATGGATTTGACAGAATGACATCGGTTACTAACTCTATTTATTGCACAATAAGAGATGGACATCGGACAGCTTGAACAAACGATACTACAACTAGACAACCTAACTCTAACATAACTTCAATCTTCTTCCCCGGCAACAACGGAACTCACACTAAAACGTCACTTTCTTGCGTACAGCGTCACACACTCACTCGTTCAATATACGGCCGCACCATCAATCATGCGCACCCATTGCCCTAGTCAAACATGCATCATAACACACACCCTCGACCTTTCCATTTATTTTTCCAACCCATTTAGGCGCCCCCTAAGGTCGGCGCCCGGGGACATATGCCCCCCCCCCCCGCCCCCCCCCCCCCTCGCTACGCTACTGAGGTGGACCAAAATTCTTCAGTTTTTTGCAGAGTTACAATGTTCGGTTTTGGTATTGCTGGTTTGTTTGTGGTTGAAAGCAATTCAGACCAATTAAATTTTGTTAGAACTATGTTGTGTTTTTTTGTCATACTTTCCGACGGCAACTGAAATATATCTAACGAGCCGACCCGCGGCGTATCACACGCCGCTATTTAGTTTTATTTTCTACTTTTCAGTACTTCATAATTTGTGAATTCGACAGTACCATTGCTGTCACTGAAAAAATGTGCTTTAAAACACTAAAACCCTCCTTTCCCCCACCACGTGAAAGCAGCCTCCTCTTAGTTACCCCCCCCCCCCCCTAAGTTTAAAATAGTTTCAAACTAAATTATCTGCCCCTAATAGGCGTCACTAAACCCGGCTCTACGATTGTAAACATTTAGCGTGAACCACAGCTCACCAGACCATGTGGGGTGAGGGTGGTTGGGATATGCCTAGAGAGGAAGAGAAGGGACTGCTAGGCGCGCTTACAGCTTGTTTTCTAACGTCTCCAAGAAGAGAATTATATATATAGATTGTCCGTCTAATAATAAGCATTAAGATATTTATTCAATTAATTCAATAACTGTAACATTATTAGTCTTTGATATACAATTATTTTAAAGATTACTATATTTAATTAAAAAATGGGAGCTTACTAAGCATTAGCAATCACTCGATTAGGCATATGAGCTAGTGCTCTTGTATGTTGTTTGCAAATGATGTGGTCAGTTTTATGCCCAGCAGAGTTTCTTTCAGAAAAAGAATTTATATAAAAAAAACATTCTTCAACTGTGTGTCCCCCTATCCCGTCTAACCCCCCCCCCCCCCCGGTAATTTATTTCCGCCCCCTCTCGAAAGTTTAAGTTACGAGTAATGTTACAATGATACACTGCCTAACTTCTGTTAAGGTCTTTTAACAACAACACCTACACCAGACATAAAAAAAAGCAATTACAAATTTCAAACGAATGTCAGCGTCTAGAGCTAGATACTTGATACCAATAAAAACAAATCTTCCGGGATTTACAAGTGGATAGCGATACAATTTCTTGATACGTTTTCCTCTCTAGGGACTTTTTGTATTTTCTGTTTGGTGATAAGGAAATGATGAATTGTAGTGGGTTTTTCTTTTAATAACTATTGGTCATTGATAAGAATATAATGATAAAGATAAAAATATGGTGATAGGGTTTCTTCTATGGCTCGGCCAGTTCAGATAAGTCATGATCACAAGGTTCGAATGAAAAAAAAAGTTGAAGTTAGTTTTGACGATTTTGGTGGCGAAGGTGTTAGATCTAGCAAACTAGACCACAAACAGTGTTTCTTCCAGACTCTTTTCTCCAGGCAGGAGGGGGGGGGGGGGGGGGGCACTGGAGATTTTTTTTTGGGGGGGGGGGGATAGACTATCTTCCTGGAAGAAACACTGGCCACAAAATGGTCCGGAATGGATGTTTTGGGTACTTTTTACGTTACACTGTACAGTAGAACTATTATGTGGTTTTGGAAATATTTTTTTCTGCATTTAATGCAATAAGTATCTTTTCCGTATTTAATTTCCCTTTGACTGCGTAAAAATCATCCTATATGGACCCTAAATAAAACATTTGATATTTCCATAAAACGTTCTGTGACTTCAAACATCTTTTCTATACATAATTCTATACATATTCTATACATATCTTTTCAGTAATTGATTAAATTAATTAATTTAACCGTTTCACAATAAAACACCTTTATAGGGTACCATAAAATATTTGTGTGATTCCGAACACAGCATTTCTACACTTAATTTAACACTTTCACTCTGTAAAACAAGCCTATATTAACCCCAAATACCATAAAGCTAATTTTGAGATTGTCAATACTTAATCTAACTCTGACTGCAAAAGCTAATCCTAAATCAACCCCCTATTACAACTCTAACACCCCCCCCCCACATCGAGTGTTTCTTTCAGACTTTTATCTCCGGGAGGGGAGTCACTTAAAATTTTCGGAGGGGGAGCGGACTCAATTTTTGCGGGGGAGGGGAAACACCGGTAAAAGTATATATTTTCGATATAAAATCTATTTCGTTCGTGGAGGGGGGATGGGGGATGCGGGAGCCCTACTTCTCCACCCCCCACCCCCACCCCCGAAGAGATGCCTGGAAGAAACTCTGCCCGCATTTTACTGTACCATACATCTATTTTGTGAGTTTGTGGATAATCTTTTTTTATACCTAATTTTTTTAACACCTTGAATGCCGTTCAAAACATAACCTTAAATCAACCCAACTTCTACATTCTACAACACCGCAATAGGGTACCTGATAGCCATTTCTTTTCGTAATGCGTCGTTTAAAACAAAACTATTATTTCTTTCGTTTCTATTATTCCAATTACGTTTTTGTATTTATCGAATTTTTAAATAGTAAAAAAAAATGTGCCTGTTATTTCCACACTGAGCGGAATAACTCTATAATTAAAACAATGATAAACGAAAACAGTGTTAAAAATAATTGGCTCCGCATTTCGTCACACGGAGGGTGGGTCGGCGATGTTAATAGCACGTCGATGCAACAAGGTATTGACGGCCACGGCACGGCATGACACAGCGGTAATAAATGGGATGCACGGTGTGTGTTTAGATACCACAAAAAAGGGGAGGTAAATCTTAGTTTTTAAAAAATTCGTTGCGGAGTTAAGGAACCTGGTGAAATAAAATTGTAAGTTGAAATATTTTTTTAGATAAAAAAAAAAAGACGAATGACGTTTAGTTTAAAAAATCGAAAGATGAATTATTTATTAGAATGAGAATCAGAAAAACCAAGAACATTGACTGACATTTGCGGTATTCATTTTTAAAATCATGTAATGTAAAAGAATCGAATTAAAGGGCGTTAATTTTCTACCTCTATTACTCCCCTTTATCACATGAAACGTATTTAATTTAAGATTATCTTTTTTCTGTTTAAATGCCATTTACCTTATACTATTAAAGTTCAAGTTCAAATATTTACTGGTAGATTGTAGATCTGAACCCGAGCTCTATAGGAGCAGGTTTCTTCCACAAATTTGTTAATATCAGTGTCTCACTCACGTGCGTGAGTAGTCAAATCTCAGGTATGACTCCAATACTTGAGTACTCATGACCACATTCATCATCATCATCAACTTCATCATCATCATCACCATCATCACCACCATCATCATCATCATAATCATCATCATCATCATCATCATCATCATCATCATCATCATCATCATCATCATCAAAATCATCATCATCATCACCATCATCATCATCACCAACATCATCATCATATTCATAACCATCATCATCATCATCACCAACATCATCATTATCATTATCATCATCATTATTATCATCATCATCATCTTTTTCCCCAAGACACATGGGGCAGGTGAAGTAGAGTTCACCTGTTTCAGTGACCTCGGCATATGAAGAGAAAGTGTGGTCAGCACTATTCCCTAACGTGAGTCAGGTACCCATCAGTCTTGTCGTGGTCACCTATTTATATAGGATCCGAGAGTTATTTTGCGAAATGATTTTAAAAACCTAGATCTAATGTTTAAAGACTGAGAGGACTAATTTAATTTTATTTTATCTGCTACACTTACTATCTGTTGATAAAAAATGTGAATGCGTGCGAATTTTCCGGAAGACCATAGGGTAGATCTTGGGGGATCTCGTGCTCCTAATATTGTTTAAAAACTTCGGTTGTATGAAATTATTTCACGAAAACATCTACGATATTATCATATCTCGTTTCCGTTGAAAATATGTTTATTTTTTTCCTTTCATTTTATTTGCCCAAACAATTTTTGCTCTTTAGCTATACGAACAAGTATAAAAACCTTTGTATTAGTAAACTGTTGAAAGCACTGCATAGAAGAACATAGGCAATTATTTTCTTATTAATTTTACTTTTAAAAATAGTAAAAATTAAACTGTTTGTCTTTCCGGAAATCTTTTTAATACATTATGCGACCTACCGTAAAAAAATATCTGGTACCCCTAAAAAACAAGGGACCCATCAAATGTCACATATCCATGTAAAAGGTACCCATAAATGTAAGGTCCCTATCACATGTGACATACCCACAGAAAGGTACCCATAAAAATAAGGTCGCCATCAAAAGTCAAATACCCACAGAAAGGTACCTATAAAAAAGGTATCCATAAAAACAAGTTCCAAATCAAAAGTGAAATATCCACAGAAAGGTACCCATAAAAAATAAGGTACTTATGTAACATTGGCGTCCCAGTGAATATCCTATAAACTTACACATGGGACCCGAACGCGAGACTCTCATGTTAGTACTCATGTAATCTACCACTCTATAATCGCATTCCTTTTTTTTTTTATTATTTCCCCAGAGCTTCAGGAAGCCGCACCGGAAGGAAGTGAGATCCACGGACGACAATGACGAGATTTCCGGTCATCACGCGAGACTTCTGCTTCTTCTCCTTCGTCCTCTTGTGGGCTAACAGCGTAAGCCACGTCCGTACTGCCGGCATTAGAAGCGAGCCGGAACTGCCGGTACTTCTGAGTAAGGTCTTGAAGGCCCTCGACCGGTCGGTGGATTTCTTTGGCAAAGACTACGCTTCGATTAATGTTGATGGGCTTTTCGGAATCCGTATCTGTCAAGGTGAGATTTTCTTTTGTTTTTTTTTAATGGTGTTTATTATTGGAACTTGTTCTAGAGTTCTTCGTAATACCATTTACAGTAAATCTAAACTGAAGAAAATGTATGCGTTTTAGTCAAACATCCTATTGATTTGTGGTTCTTTGTGTTGCTCTGTCGTATATATGTAGTCATTTTTATTTTATTGTTTGTAAAAACAAACCTATTTGATTTTTCCATAAAAAAAGGTAGTTGTTTGAAATTGCTGATAGTCTTAGCAACAGCTTTAGAAATCAAGGCCCTTGTTGTTTTTTAACTATTTATTTTAAAATTTGAATCTTCAATCAAAAGTTTTTAACACGATAACTCTTTAACCTACATTCAGCTTTTTTTATCCCAAATAAATTGTTCATCCTAAGTAATTTTTTTATCCCAAATAGACCGCTTATCCCGAATATTTTTTTTATCCTAAGGAGTTTTTAAAATCCTAAATAAACTGCTTATCCCAAATAAGCTACTTATTCCAAATAAACTGTTTATGCTAATGTACACCTAAATGTTGACTAAACAAGTATTAAATACGATTTTCTATCCGGATAAACAGTCTCATGGATTAAGATTATTCATATCTTTACCCTAGACTACTATTAGTATTGCTGCAATACAAAACCATTTTACTTGTTAAGTACTACTTTTGTTTTTGTTAATATAATGTATATAATTTTCCTGTTTTAAAAGTGAAATAAACTTTTTTTTTTAAATTCCGCTTTAAAAAAAAACTCAACATAATAATACCAATTCTGAAGAGAAAAAAAATTTAGAATGCAAGAGAAATCAAAAGAAAATGATAAAAATTATGTGGGGTGCTGTTGCTTGTTATCACCGGTAGGTTTAATTTTTTTTTAAAGTCATACTAGAAGTCACCATCGATTTTAACTGCACTTTCAACCATTTTTTTCCTGCCCGTCCTACCAATTACACACCGCCTTTGATCGTAATGTCAGTGGTTCTCAACACGTTAATCACACGGGCATTTTCCCGGTTTATCCATGGTAGCAAACATCGATGTAATGTACGAAGCTGAGAAAGTATGAAGATAAGAAGGTGGCTGGTTTACATCAATATCTCACCAGACAATTTACATTATAGTATCTTGAAAGTGAAATATTATGAACGATACGTGAAATCTTACCATGGGCGCTGAAATCTTACAAATGGTCTAAGAAGTCTTATTGTTTAACCCTGTAGTATTACGATTGATCTACCTAACCTAACCAAAAATAATATTTTCCAGGGATTCGGATTGGTACGAATGATTTCTAAAATCTTACCAATTATTTACGAAGTTCTAATAAGAACCTAATATATTTTACCAATAATCCTTGAAATTTTATATAATACATAAATTTGTTAACTAGGACATTGCAAAGACTGAAAAGTTTCCAATGAAACTATTATCTTACCAAATACCCCCTGCAGTGGCGTAGCCAGGATCGTCTCAAGGGGGGGTTCCAATTTTTTCCCGAGGACAAACTTTCCATTTGCACCCCCCCCCCCTCAAACTTTCGATTTGCAACCCCCCTCATTCTTTTTCTATTTACCGAGGGGTCTATGGGGGGTTATGACCCCCCCTAACCCCCCATGCCTACGCCACTGACCCCCTGAAATCTTATCCACAATCATGACATATTACCCATGATTATGAATTAGGATTATAAAAATCTACACAGGATCTTAAATTCATACCACAGAACATCCAATGCCGCTACTGACACTAGTAGGATTAAAATATTTTACCCACAATTATGAAATCTCACCCAGGATTATGAATTCTTACTCAGGGTTAAGAAATCTTACCAATAAACCTTCCACGCCATTACTTACACTTGTTTAATTATATCTTGCAAAAAAAATTATGATACCTTACCAAATGAAATCTTACCCAGGATTATGAATTCTTACTCAGGGTTAAGAAATCTCACCAATGAACCTTCCATGCCGTTACTCAAAGTTGCAGTTTTTATAACGGACAGATTTTGTTCACAATTAACGGGGTCGTTCAACCCCTGAATTAGAACCCTTGTTTGCAATTCATTTTACGCCGTGTCCCCCCCCCCCCCCCCCAGCTAGCCCGTGGGGTTGCTTGCCTGACTTTTACCGCCAGTTTTCAACTTTCGCCTTCATGAAATATGTAGGAGATTTTTCCGTCGTTTTGATGCCGCGCTTTGTTTATTGGGACGGGTCTACTAGAAAGGAAGGGCCGTACCGACAAATTTGACGTCTGAACAAAGTCCCTTCCGTATATTGGGACGGCTCTACTAGAAAGGAAGACTGTGGACCAAAACCATTTTGGTTAGCCGTACCTTCAGATTTGACGTATAAACAAAGTCCCATACGTTTATTGGGACGGCTCTACTAGAAAGGTAGACTGTGGACCAATTCCAATTTGGTTAGCCGTACCTTCAAATTTGACGTCTAAACAAAGTCCCGTACGTTTATTGGGACGGGTCTACTAGAAAGGAAGACTGGGCCAGTACCAATTTGGTTAGCCGTACCTTCAGATTTGACGTCTGAACAAAGTCCTGTCCGTTCTGAAATATTTTCTGCTCCAGGCGAAGATGAAAATGTCTGCTACAAAATTGCCGGCGCTCACAAATGTTTATAATTCATGCCCCTAAGTGTGTGTAGGACGGGGAACTTCTATAGCTGATAGAACGCAATAGTGGGATGAAGAAAAAGTTGGAATTGTGTTTAAGAATAAACCACTTTTAATGTGATTTGTCGTCCGTTTTACTAAATGCCACGCTGGGTAGACCTTTATAGCTTAGGTCGCTACAGAATGCCTTCAAGTGATATCTTACTTTGGTTTTTTTAGCTCAAATCCTGACTGGCGTACATCATTATACTGACATGCATGAATCAAATAATGACAGTTGTAATGATAATAATAACAGACGTAACTCAAATACTGACAGACGTCAATCTAACAACGACAAACTTAAATCAAGAACTTACATGTATGAATCAAATACTGACAGACTTAAAACCAAAACTGAAAAGAATGAATTAAATACTGACATGCGTAAATGAAATGCTGACAGGCACGAATGAAATACTGACTTGCTAAGTCAAAAACTGACAGACTCACTACATAAACAACAGAGAGGTGACCTTGAATTATGGTCATTACTTCCGGGTTGAGAAATCTGGGGCTGGGTTGACTTTATTGGCGTACGTCCTAGAAGTCAGATCGATTTGCAGACGATGGAAATGAGACTAATATACGATAAGCGAGTGAGGATAATGAAATAGAGTCTGTGTTACTACGACGGAGATACATCGTTGTTAGGTGTAGTACTAGTACTTGTAGTGGTTTGTAAACTTACGCCCTATGTTGGGATCTGGGTTAGCATTAGGTCCTATGTTAGGATCAGGGTTAATCTGAAGCATCAGAATCATCGTTAATTTGAAGCCCTGAATTAAGATCATGGTTAATCCGAAGCTCTAAGTTAGGATTTTGGTTAGTTTGAAGCCCTATATTAGGTTCAAGGTTAATCTGAAGCCTGCTATTAGAATCAAGATTAAACTTAAGACTTATATTAGGATTGAAGTTGACCTAAAACCGTATCTTAGAATCGGGGTTAATCTGGAGTCCAGAGTCACCTGACGCCCGAATTTTAACTTCAGCCCAGGATCAGTTCCTTCCAAATATCTTACCGGGGGGGGGGGGAGGGGGGGGAGAAGAACGTCTACCGCCCCGCCCCCTCCCCCAGAACGAAACATAATTTATATAGAGGATATATACTTTTACTAGTGTCCGCACCCGCCCACCCAGGAAAATTCCAAGTGCCCCCCAATCCGGAGAAAAAAGTCTGAAAGAAACACTGCCCAGGGTATGCTTGAAACTCCTTGAACAAGTAAGCCAGGAGTTCAGTTTTAACAAATAGTAATCATGACAACATACATTAAGGTAAGGCCTAAGCCAAGGTTAAACCAGGTTAAACCTCCAGCCCATTTGTAAAACAAGTAGTTAGCCCGGTCTACTCAAAGTGAAGAAAAACCGCGGGCTTTGGACAACCCGGTGCCTCGTTAGTTTTTTCACTTACAAAAAAGATCCCCCTCCACTACTTTCACTCAATTAGTTTACACGAAAGCTTCCGTGCAGCATCGAAGATGCTCATTTGATTAAAGCAATTAGCCGTTTAGACAAAAAAAAAGAAGTCTGTTTTTTTTAATGTCTTGTTTTTTCCCCGTTAATTTTTTTAAGTATATCAACATTAGCTAAATTCCTCACACTTCTATATAAAAAAAAACGATATTTTTCATCTTTTAAATAATTTTGTCTTATTTTTCCCCCCATTAAATTTTTTAACTATATCAACATTAACAAAATTCCTCACACTTTTTTCAAAAAAAAATAAAACGAGATTTTTTCATCTTTTAAATAATTTTGTAAACTGTTTTAATTAAGATCTAAAAATTTTAGATTTAATATAAAAAGAAACCAAGCGTGGCTTTTTTATGGCTTTTGGCGTTCTTGAAGCAGGCAATTAGTTCCACTTAATTAAGGCAATTAATTCCACTTAATTAAGCGCCGGGCGAGAAAAACAAGCCGATGTTATCTTCATCAAAAAATCTGGCCATATGTCTTTTGTCTCCCTGTTTTTTATGACGTTATATCTTCTCTTGTACAAGCTGGCACAATCTGGAGGTAACTTCCGGTTCAGTCTGGGAGATTTAAAGTTTCCTCCGTGTTATAATTAACGTTTCTGTTAAAAAAAAAATTAAAGTCAAAATTTTATTTCGATAAAAATATTTGATTTAAAGTAGACGGCATCAATAATTAACAAAAAAAAATGATGAAATGTGTCGGCGTGGTCGGGTCGGTAAGCTTATGGTTGCTCAACCGAAAAGGCCTGAGTTCAAACCCAAGATAGATAAGGCTCGATAGCTGGGAACAGCAACTCATCTCCAAAATCAAACAACTGCTGCCTTGTAGTTTGTTCTTGGTTGGACAAAAGCTA